TTTTACAGGAACAAGTCCTGTTTCTCGCTTGAGGCCAGGAAAAGGCTAGTCACTGTGACCTTTTTACCTGTGCTGGATTATGGTGATTTGTTATATATGAATGCACCTGCCAATTACCTGAGCAAGTTAGATGCTGCGTATCACAGTGCACTGAGATTTTTGACAAATTGTAAAGCACTTACGCATCACTGTACCCTGTATACCAAGGCGGTTATGCCATCACTTACTGTACGGAGGCTCAGTCACTGGTACTTTTTCATTTACAAAGCCATGTTGGATAAACTACCATCTTATATCTGCTCCCTGATCTCTCTGCGAATTGAAAGTACTTATTGCCTGAGATCGCATGCTGTGGTTTTATTAAATGTGCCAAGTGCTAGGACTGTCTTAGGGAAGAAAGCTTTTAGATGTGCAGCTCCACTAACATGGAACAGTCTGCAAAAAGAATGGAAAATTACCAAGCTAGTACCACTACATGTTTTTAAAGCTCGGTTGGATGCTACAAAATCAGATGCTGTTGGTACCTGTACTTGTGGTTAAATATGTAAATTGTAATCCCTGTACATTTTGCTGTATGATGTCCTTTTGTTGTTCTGTTGTTTATGTCTTCTTGTGGAACCTACTGCTGCAGGTCTCCCTTGAAAAAGAGATCATTGATCTCAATGGGATTTTACCTGGATAAATAAAGGTTTTTGAATCTTGATATGCCACACCTGTGAGGTGGGATGGATTATCTCGGCAAAGGAGAAGTGCTCACTAACACAGATTTTTTCAGATTTGTGAACAATATTTGAGAGAAATGGTTATTTTGTGTATATAGAAAATGTTTTAGATCTTTGAGTTCATCTCATGAAAAATGGGATCAAAAACAAAAGTGTTGCATTTATATTTTTGTTCAGTGTATGTGTACACATGCCAAATAAAGCGGATACTGAATCATTACTGAAGCTGCTCTTCCTCCCGGGAAAAGATTGTCCAACTCTTGACCTGACAATCAACATCGGCACTTCAGTTGTTTCCCCGACTCAGACTGCAAGGAATCTGGGTGTGACCCTAGATAACAACCTGTCCTTCACTGCAAACATCGCTGCTACAACCCGTTGCTGCAGATACACGCTTTACAACATCAGGAAGATACGTCCCCAGCTGACTCAGAAAGCGACTCAGGTTCTGGTCCAGGCTCTCGTCATCTCACGCCTAGACTACTGCAACTCCCTCCTGGCTGGTCTACCTGCATGTGCCATCCGACCTCTGCAGCTCATCCAGAATGCAGCGGCTCGTCTGGTTTTCAACCTTCCTAAATTCTCCCACACCACTCCGCTCCTCCGCTCCCTTCACTGGCTTCTGGTAACTGCTAGAATCCACTTCAAGACACTGGTACTTGCGTACCAAGCTGCGAATGGATCTGGCTCTTACATCCAGGACATGGTTAAACCGTACACCCCAGCGCGTGCACTACGCTCTGCATCAGCCAAACGACTCGCTGCGCCCTCGCTGCGAGGGGGACCCAAGTTCCCATCGGCGAAAACACGTGGGTTTGCTGTCCTGGCTCCAAGATGGTGGAATGAGCTCCCCATTGACATCAGGACGGCAGATAGCTTGCACATCTTCCGGCGCAAACTGAAAACTCATCTCTTTCGACTCCACTTCGAGCGTTAGAACTATTAACGAAGCACTTTTATACTAATAAAGGACTGGCTTACCTAAAGCCAGTTGAGTAGCACTTGAAATGTTTGGCTCTATGAAACCTGATGTACTTATATGATTCTGTTTTCTTCAAGGTTGTGTCTTCCTGGTCGAATGTACTTATTGTAAGTCGCTTTGGATAAAAGCGTCAGCTAAATGCAATGTAATGTAATGTAATGTAATTACTATCATTGTTGTTGCCTTTCCTTCTGTCACACTAATGAGTAAGTCTATGTACTATACAGAAGCAAAGCTTGCATTGCATATTAGAACATGAATTTGGCCACTGTTATTATAGTTGCAATATGTACCATAGGGGACGTGATGCCTATGCTGTTAACTATTTTATTTTGGTGAGTCTGTCGCAAGACAGAAAAGACAGCCAGTATTGCTAGAATATAAACCTTTTTTTAAATTGCATTCTGTTTCTAGCGCAACAGCTTTAGTCCAGGTTTACATCCTATCAGCTACTGCATTAGCAGACATAGCAACAGGAAATGGGGGGCCTATTTAGAAAGTTAGCGTTTAAAAATGTCTATATTGTGAGGCTAAATATTATATTGTATAGCATAATGTTACATGGCAAATATAACGAAACACATGGCCTGATATGCATATTGGAATTTTATATGTAAAATTAACACTTATCACAACATAATGTGGGCTCGCAGGCTGATAAACTAAGATATCTGATCTCGGTGGGTCTTAATGAGATTTGATACAGTATATACTATTTCTAAGCAAATGCCTACTATAATATGTATACATACATTACATGTCACTTGTTGTCGCTTTTATCCAAAGCGATTTACATACTCAATACTGTGGACAATCCCCACAGGAGCAATTTGAGGTGAAGTGTCTCAGGGACACAACGACATGCTGACTGCAGAGGGGTTTGAACCTGTGACCATCTGATCCAAACACCAACGCACTACCCACTGCACCACACGCCTCCTACATTTGCTTACATTATAAATGATGGTCAGGTTGCATTTTTCTGGAACTTTTTAACAAGGTTAATGTAACAAATTGAAGTATGGTGGTCTAATACGTCGTGTTGATCCGTGTTGCACTCATAACTCGCAGGGCTCGAGTGATTTTTATTATTTTTCATGTCGATGGACACTGAATATTATGTTTGAATAGAGGATTCCTAATATTGTTTGCCAAGACCAACATTAATACCCATCAGCATTTTAAAGTCTAAATATCCCTGCACATGCAGCAATGACATTTCTGCTGCTATCTTTGCAAAACGAGTTAACAGTCTGGATGAGTGCTGCAGAATACTTTTTTATAAGGGATACATGTTTAATTAGTCTTTCATATTAAACATGATCGCTGCTAGATAGCCACAGAAGTCTTAACACAGTTTAACCTGGGCGGATCCCATTTTTCCCTTGGCGGATCGCAGTTTACCACAGCTGAAGACTTCTCCACGCTGCTTTCAAACTCTCTGAGTAAACAACATACGCTTGACTGGGAGGCTGTCTGAAGGTGAACACAGGTCTCAGATGGACTTGGTATCACATTAAGAACAATATTCAGTAATAAGTCTGGCAACAATAGCTGGTTTAAATTATTTATTGGAGCTCGCAATGTTTTGAACAGACATCCCCAGTCAACTCGTTTTTCTTTTTGTAGTCCTCGCTGTTCGCGTCCGGATATCACCATCGTAACCACAACCTCACACACTGGTACTGAATGTGCATCAAAGTCTTCCTACCGAGCCAAATATACTAAAAGATTTATGTAAACGACAGAAGGAGCGATCGAAATGTGTATTTCAGTCGAAGGCCACGCCCCCCACATCTGTGCCCCAGTTGATCGGAAAACCAGTTAATCTGGAACACCGGCTCCGCTGCGGCTGAAACAGTGAAGAACCAGAGCTAAATCAGGCTGTAGCCCGGAACTGGCTCTGGAACCGGTTTGGTTGAAAAGGGGCAGAACCAGAGAAGAACCAGTTAAGCACCAGAAAAGCACAGGAACTGTTCTTGAACCGGAACCGGTTTGGTTTATTGGCGGTTGTCAAACCACTTAAGAGTACTGGAGAAACAAGAGCTATTGAGTCAGTGTTGTGGTGCTGTTGCTTTGGTCTGGATCTGTGAGCTAACCACGCCCTGTTCATTTGAATATAAGAAATGGAAATGTCGTGGCATTATGAAATACAAATCCCCTGAAATAAATAAATGTGGCATTATGAAATACAAGTCCCCTGAAATAAATAAATGTGGCATTATGAAATACAAGTCTCTTGAAATAAATAAATGTGGCATTATGAAATAAATAAATGTGTATTTAAATGTACATTTATATATATTTATTGCCTTATTTATTTATTTCAGAATGTATTTCATAACCTTATTTATTTCATAGGCATATTCATATATATATATCTATTTAATTATTTATGTATTTATTTATTTAATTTTGGCTTAAACGGAATTCCATAGAGGATAACATCATATGTAGCCTATATCCTTTGTTAAAATATTCCCTAAGGATTTCCATCTCTTCCTCATCCAAACTCAGTTTAAAATTTGTGCAGAAACAGCTGAATAGTACCAAACAGGAAATACGTGGCGCTGTCGGGTGCTGACCAATCACGAAGCGTAATTTCTTGACTGGCAGCGAAACAACCAATCACAGCAGTGCTTCTCTCTGTCCAATCAAAAACAAGAAGTGTTCTCCGTAAAGGAATACCCTTTCCGTAATTTTTGAAATGTCGTTGTGTTTTGTGAAATGCTGTAGTGTTTTGTGAAATGTTGTTTTGACTTGCACTTCAGGGCCACCATATATTTGTACTCCCGGTGGGCTGATTTTGACTACCATGAGCAGTGTTGTTATTATCTCTACTGTGGACAATTATTTTTCAAATAAATAGAAAATCTGTTCAATCCAAATGATCCATAGTCCCCTAAATATTCCAAATCGACCCAAAATGTAACAAAATCAGACACTTTCTGCAGTTTTTTATCCTGAATTGCAAGAAATTGACTCAGCATCCTCAATAACCCCAACAACCACTCCAAAATTGTCCAAATAACGCTAATAATGAAGTAATGCTCTGATATGGTCTAGCGTGAATATAAAACGTGATTTGGACCCTGATTGTTTTAATCCAGTGTGTGTTGATGCCACATACTGTTGTGTTGTTGGTGAATACTATCAGTTGATGCACAGGGCCACAGTTTCACACAATGGTATGTGGTGTTGGTTGTAAAAGGAGGACATGAGCAGTCTGACAGTGAAATCTGACCAAACAGTGGCCAGACTTCATTCTGCATTGCTGAGAGTTTTGTTCTCAAATGTCATATCCTGGGAAGGAAGTGTGTCATGGTCATAGTGGGGGTGACCCGGTTGCCCCTCTTGGTTTTGCCGGTCTTGCTGAGGCCGATGTACATGCCAGGGTAAGCCGCTGATTCGTAGGCGTTATAGTTGTTGGCCAGGAGATTCTCCTTGAACTTGCACTCATCGTTGAAATTGCCCTGAGGAAAAGAAAACAGAAAACAGACATGTATTAGTTCGAACTAGTCACTGTTTAGCTCCTGAAATGTGACAACTTCTTCACTTTATTTTCACATCATTACAGATCAAAATCACAATACACACTAGAGGACACAATGTGATATTTTCTGTTATTCATCCCAGTCTAATTATCCTGGTTCCTCATGTCTTGCTTGTTCAATTAGTTTGGACTCATTTAAAACCAAAATAAAGCACACTCAAAGTGAATCTGACAGTGAGGGAATGTTTTCTTGTAATGCTTTAAGTTATTAACACTGATTAAAACATTTAATTGTTTATTGAATTAAAAAAGGAACATGAACCTCATCCGACTCAGCAGAAATTTGAAGTTAACAGAGGCCAATTAAAATTCAATCTGAAATGAACGGAATCCTTGTCTCATCTCTAACACCTCCCATCAAACTGGCTTTATTTAAAGGGAGACTTTACATTATCTATCAGACACATGCAACATCACAGTCATCTTACTCGGAAGATCACAAGATAAGTCTTCGAGCTGATGCTCCAGTGCTTGCATTATGACATCTATACGGTTAGATCTGGAGAGATCACCGGGGAACTATCCTCGTGAGTCACCTTCACCACAGACACTTCGCCCCCCCGCCCCTTTTACATTAATGTTTGCTAATGTAAGGAAACACATCAGCGGCTCGGCAGGCTCCCTCACTGAGGCTGGGGGCCTCACCAGCCAAAGGTCAATCTGACACCCCCGACCCGCCCACCTCTGTGTATACAGGCCTGCTGTTACATGAGTAACTGCTGGATGACTAACTGTTGTTTGGATTACGGCTGAGTTGGCCTCATTCAGCGTGCAAAACAATTTTAACTGCAGTGTTTTGGCGCTCGCTGTAATAAAACATTACACCTATAGCTCAGGGCCACAGGAAATGACCTACAATTAACTGTGACATTAATAAACTCAGACAAAAGCAGCCAGCTCAGTGTGTGTACGTCATCAGGTTATTAATAGTTCTAACAGTTATATGTTTCAATTACTGAATTACGGCAGTTCAAATATTATTTTTATTAATTTAACAATAAAGAGTAATAATTGTTTACTTCTATTGGAGATCTTTTTCTCTGTGATTTAGAGAATGGCTTATATGATTGGAAATAGTGTTATGGAAAGCCTAAGGAAGACATAAAGGTTTACAGAATTCATGCTGATACTTGTGTATGGATAAAATATAATTGCACTGCAAATTTATCAACATATCGGACCTGCTGCTTCAGATTAAATGAACTGAAGGTTCTCATACATACACATTTAAAGCAACTGTGGACAGTACATTCTGGAAGAATCACTCATTCATTTAAAGGTCCCATGTCATACTTTTCCGGTTATTACCCGTGTGTTATGTAGCTTTTTCTGCATGTAAACGGTCTGCAAAGTCACAAACCCTCAAATTACACCCTGTAGGGAGTAAAACTCTAACACAGAAAATATCTGTCAACTGCCACAGAACGCCTCGTTGGACAGTTTTCTTTTTCCATTTTTTTCTCCCTGAGTTTAGTGACGTGACCATACCCAGGTCCAAATGGACCAATCAGTGGAGCTCCTCACACACGCACACACACTCACTCAGCCTTATCTTTTCTCAGCCGCGGCTCCGTGGATCTCCACTCACAGTTCGCCACACACTCACGTGTGTGTGTGCTCAAGCTGAGTTCTGCGGTGTCTCGCTGTCTCGCAGACCCCACGCAGCAACCAGGAAACGACACCAGTAATCCAGCTCACACTGTCCGCTCCTCGAGCCTCAAAGAGCGGAGCAGCGAGCCCCGCAACGTCCCGCCAACACGGCACCCAGACCCCACGCAGCATTCTCATCTGTTTGTCATTAGTGGTGTCATTTCCTGGTTGCTAACAGAACATAGTGGGTGAGCTGACCAATCAGAGCACAGTGGGCTCATGGGGGGGGGGGGGGGCCATTTCTACTGAAATGGCCATGGCCATTTCAGTAGAAATGGCCATGACATGGGACCTTTAAACATCAATAGCCTACACACTGATTTTCTGCCTTGCGTTTATTTTAAAAGTTGCAGCTTTAAACATTCTGTTGTAGCTGCTGTGCAGCAGGTATTTAGTTTGTTACTATCCACATCATCCCAGATTCACCCTACTTACAGCCAACACCATGATAAAGCACTCTGGTTCAGCTAGTTGAAGTTCCAACTCAGTGGGTTCCTGCCATGCGTTCACAGATGAGACAGGGTAGCAGCCATTAGGGAGATACAGGGATACTGTCTTAACAGAGTTTTAGTGGATCAACCACCTCTCATCAACATTCAGGTACATTACTTGTAAAGTTACCTAGGGACTTCGGGTGTAAATTAGCATTTTTGCTAACTCTAACATGTTCACATCTTGTATTTTTATTCCAATTTTCATTTAGTGCTCTGTCCCTTTCACATAAATACATGTGAGCTTTAGTTGTCCACACATTTTATACAGTGTTCATTTAAAAACAACCGTGTTAAACAGCATAACTAAAGTTAGCCGTGCTAACACAGTATTAGCTAACATGCTGTGTGTTGTGAATCAAAAACATGCAAGGCAAATGCAAGGTAAATATAAACTATATGCTGATTTCAAACTTTATTAATGGATTCAGGAAACTTTATTCAGAATCAGAGGTGGCAAAAGTACACACTCTCTTTACTTAAGTAGAAGTACAGATACTTGTGTAAACAAATACTTTGGTAAAAGTAGGAGTACTGATTCAACAAAGTACAGTCTCTGAAATGTACTCACAGTAAAAAGTAACTTTTAAACTGGCTGTTTTTGTGCAAAGCTAACTGAACCGTACATCATATTAATATAATATAATATTAATATAAGTGAAAAGGAGCTTCATTTAAACTTTTATTACTGCCATTCTGAATGTATTCAGCGTGAACAACAAAAACAGTAGGCTACCTGTATTTGCTGTCGCCAACATTGTAGATGGGTTACTTTGCCTTAATATAAGCCTAAACAAATCAAACAAAAATGATTGTAGTGAATTCACCACAAATAATTTGTTGCACCCACAACTTCAAACATCTCCCTTAAGTAAGGCCATGGATGCGGGATGTCTTGCTGGTGGTCTGAAAATGAAGATAACATCGACGGAGGCGATTCATCATTCATCTAGCTGACTGTACTAGCGATACTCTTGGACATTATGCCGTTAGACCAATCCCTTAACGTCTCTGCCTAGCTGTTTCGTCATACGTCTTTTACGTTGTTTTCGTCTGTCGTGCATGATCTGCACACCATGGGCCTTCCTTATTTCTCTAATTTCCCCTCCTCGAATCCTCGGTCCTCCAGTAGTGACCCGGAAATGGTTTTCAGTGCGCCATGTTGAAGGACATCTAATTTCTCTAAATGCACATCGAGGACCAAGGACCGAGCATCGAGCATCGAGGAGGCTCTCTGGAGGAGCTTTAATCGAGGATACACTGATGGGTCCTACACGGCTCCTCCGCGGATGCATTTCCGGCAACAGTGATGTTTAAAAGAGTCGTGACGCACGGCCGGACTTATCTCAGCCAATGACAGCTCTGCATGCATCCCCTGGATATTATTTTATTAACTGCTTTCATCGCGACGCGATGTTTACACTGAGAACAGCTGTGAGGTCCGTGCAGAAAGCAGAGCAGTGTGTATAATATATATATCACTCAGTATAACAGGCCTACATTACTCTCTGTATTTGCTTTAGTTTAGTAGATATCTACAAACAAAGAGTCGATATTTGTCTAAACCCATTTAGTGCTTCACATAATAAAATACACAATGGCTGTAGCCTGATATTATATGCTTTAGGAGCTGTAGGTGTGTGTTGTACTGTGTGTGTGTGTGTGTGTGTGTGTGCGTGCGTGCGTGCATGCGTGCGTGCGGCGGACAGACAGGTCTCAGTTGGTTTGGTGTCCTATGCTTACTTTTAATGCTTGTAAATAAAACTTTTGGCCCGTTTGCTCTCATACTTGTTTGATTCTGAAATTGTATATATTTACGTGTGTGTATGTCCGCATCTGTAGCCTGTTATTGTCTCATTATACCGCACTGTGAATTAATTCAAAGTAAATATATGTCCATCAGACAGAGGGCTGTGCCTCCTCTCATCAATAATGGACGTCTCTTTAAAGTTTAAAGTGACAGCTCAGAGGAGAGGATTTCTCATTTCTCTAACCGCCTGCCCTGCTGCTTCCCCTCCTCTCTCCTCGGTTCCCCTCCTCGGCTCCTCCGCTCGCATCTCCTGTGGGCGGGACTAAGACACGAGGATAGGAGTCGAGGATAGGAGTCGAGGAGGGGAAATTAGTGAAATGAGAAAGGCCCCATGGCTCGTCTTCTCTACGTGTTATTGTCACATTCATTTAGTTTTAAATCAGTCTTGATGTTGGGGAAGGCCCGCAATGATGCAAAATAAAAATAATTGATAATTCACCTCGCATGCATTCAAACGAAAGTAATGAGCCTGTTTTGAAAATGTAAGAAGTAAAAAGTACAGATATGTGTCAAAATGTAGGGAGTAAAAGTAAAAAGTCATGAGAAAAATAAATACTTAAAGGTGGGTAGGTAAGTTTGAGAAACTGGCTCGAGATACACTTTTTGTTATATTCCATGGAATGCTCTTAAAGGTCCCATGTCATGGCCATTTCCACTGATCATAATTCCATTGTTGAGAGGTATACTAAAATAGATTTATACTGTGCAATTTTCCAAACTCACATTGGTTTCGCATACAGCATCTCTGTAAAGTATGTGTGTACTGTATTCACTCTCTGCCCTAACGGCTTGTTTGAGCTCCTGCCCCCCCTCCCTGTGAGCCCAGTGTGCTCCGATTGGTCAGCTCGGCCACTCTGTTCTGATTAGTCAACCACCAGAGAGGCTCCGCCCATGTCTAACACTGTTTTTTCGGCTCTGAGCGGAGCATTAGTTTTTGTATAAGCTAACCTACGTTTGCTAGTTGTTCAG